CCCCGCCCCGCATTATACTTCTCTCTGTTTTCTCTGACCACTCACCGATGGCTTTGATGCGGAATCCGCGGGGTGCCCTCAGTGCTCTCCGGCTCCAGGCTTCCCTCAGGACCTGGAGGTGTGAGGCACTGCCGCCCAGCAGTAACACCGAACTGTCCAGGTAGCCGAGGAGCATGAGGCCGGATACGGCCTGAACCAGCCGCCCATCCCACACGCTGCGCCGGTTCTCCGCTTTCAACTCTGCTAGCAGCTGCTGCCCGCTCATGTCCAGCCCCGAGGTCGCTTCCCGGAGCCCCAAAACCATTGCAAGTGAGCTCTGGGTCAATTGCACTGTCATGGCAGCTCGTCTCGACTCCCCGATCCCGCTCCACATTCCTTTCTCCGGAGTCCAGCCTGGGGACGCTGCTGCCTAGCAACTGGGAGGACGGGCCCCTCACTGTCAATCACCCAGAACCAATCAACCGGGCGGGCGGGCGCGGCACTCGCTGTCAATCACCCAGAACCACAGCAACCGGGAGGGCGGGCCTGTGAACGGGCGTGAGCGCAATTCATTTGAGAATCTTGGGTGGTCCCAGACATAAATAGAAGTTCAAAAGTCAGTGTATTCCTGATTTAGATTGTCACAACTTTGGACTGTCGAAAAGTTAGAAGGTAAATTCTGTTTTCTTTCTCTTTATTTATTCATGGGATGAGGGCGTCGCTGGCCAGGCAGCATTTATTGCCCATCCCTAATTGCCCAGAGGGCAGTTCACAGTCAACCACATTGCTGTGGGTCTGGAGTCACATGTAGGCCAGACCAGGTAAGGATGGCAGTTTCCTTCCATAAAGGACATTAGTGAACCAGATGGGTTTTTCTGACAATCGACAGTGGTCATCATTAGATTGTAAATTCGAGATATTTATTGAATTCAAATTCCACCATTTGCCATTGCAGGATTTGGGCCATTGCTCCTGCAGACACATCCTGTTTGTCTGCCATCATTAACCAATTAACAGGAGGATGAGAGTGTAGACTTGCTCCCCGAGCCGGTGTGTTTGATTGCAACATTTTAGGTATTACCTTTCTTCAGGACTGAACATGGGGGTAGGGGTCAGATGCAGGTAAGGGCGTGGGGGGCATTAGCAAAACGTGGTGATAGATGGACTCTGGTAGCAGGTATGACCTGGTTGTCAATGGGAGGGATGAATCTGGTTGGTGACTGGAAAGGAGGGTCAGAAGGTGAAATGGAAGGGGAAGCAGCGGATGGGTGGAAAGGTTATTTGGAATTGAGAAATCAATGTTGAGTTGTCCGGGCTGTAGGGTGCCCAGGTGGACAATAAGGTTTTGTTCTTCACATCTGTGTTCTCAGATGATGGTGAATGGTTGCAATGTGGAAAGTGGGCACCCTGTGATCAGTTTGGAAGTCACTGGATTCAAAACACTAACTCTGTTTCCCTTTCCAGAGATACTGCTAGGCCTGCTGAGTTTCTCCACCAAATTTCTGGTTTCCGTCAGGTCTTCAGTTCTTTGTTTTATGCTGGGGGAATAGGTCAGATATTGGGCACCGGGTGAATACACAGTCTGGCACATTCCGTCTTGATTGACATCTGTCCCTGGAACATTTCAAAATCAGAACATTTAGATCCTGCTAGTCCATGAAGAGAAGCAGCATTAGATCATCTGGTCCTTCGTGTCTGCTCTGCCTTTGTAATATGTCCTGCCTGACTTTCCAGCAGAATTGCAAGCACCATCTCCATATTGTTCAGTGGAAGGATGTCACTCTGACCAAGTTGGTGAGACACTATACATCATAAAAGAAAGTGATACAACATCACATGATCTGTTCTCTCAGCCTTGTGGCAAGATGAAATCTCGCAAAGATGCTGCTCCAGAAAAGTTAGGGATTTCCTACAGCGTGGCTAAGGACCAGTAACTTTTTTGTTTTAAAGTAGACAAACTGAGAGATCCAGGACTCTTACTAAAAGAATAAAGCCACAAGACTCTATGGTTATAAACCGATAACAAGTGAGACAGTGATAATACTCTACTTGTATTGTAGATTGTATTTGTAGTATCTTCACAGTTCATTCTGGATGCTATGAGTTTTAAAAGTACATTTTGTCCTGATTTTCCTCATGGAGAAAGATTGAGACATGCAGAAGCAGCCTGAATGGTGGCGTCTAGCTCCTGCAGAACCAGGATTTTTAGTTTTAGTTTTTCAGTAGCAGTTACTGAAGTCTTGAAGCTGGGTTTAGAAGCTGCAGTACGTCTGTTTTTGTTACTGAGTTTTGTCTTGATGCTGTTCCTCCTGGACTGGAGAATTACGTGTCAAACAATCTATTTTATTTAATTTGGCTTGCCAAGGCCGTGTTTATGGAGTGTTATTATATTGAAACAGTTACTGTTTAGTGGTTTTTTCTTTATTCATTCATGGGATGAGGGTATTACTGGCTAGGCAGCATTTATTACCCATCCCTAATTGCCTTGAGGGCGGTTAAGAGTCAACCATATTGCTGTGGGTCTGGAGTCACATGTAGGCCAGACCAGGTAAGGATGACAGTTTCCTTCCCTAAAGGACATTAGTGAACCAGATAGGTTTTTCCAACAATCAACAATGGATTCATGGTCATCATTAGACTCTTAATTCCAGAATTCAAATTCCACAATCTGCCATCTAGTTCGAATCTAGCGGATTTGAACCAAGGTCCCCAGAACATTATCTGGGTCTCTGGATTAACAGTCCAGCGATTAATACCACTCAGCCATCGCCTCGAATAATAAAAATCTATTATTCTGTTATTTCAGTTTCTTCTTTCTTTTATGGGGGTCTTCTCTATACAGAAAATAAATCTCTGACCTTCTAAACAGAAAGCCCAATGCACAACTGTTTGATAATCATTAAATTATCATTAAATTCCTTCAGTCACAGACCAAAACATGCTATTAGCTCAAATCCAAACTTGAAAATAAGTATAAAATGCATATAGATTATGTACATCACATCAAAGGAAAATAAAATTGGAAGCACAGTGAGGAAAGCCTTTAAATTTATATTGCTTCAAAACAGCTCACCTCTTAAATTTTTTGCAGAAGCTTGTTAAAGTATAAATTTGCAGGTTTCACTGGAGTACACCAGATTGGTGTAGGATAAGGGGCTCTGATGGGAAAGTACAGCAGACAAAATTGCAGCTGTAACCATGGAAATTAACCCCTGTAAATGTGTGGGTGAGTGTGATAGAATTCAAACAGAATTCCTGAGACTTTTTGGTTTAAAAGGGAAGTGTGCCCATATCCCTCAAATAATGCCATAGTCCATTTGAATTGGAGCCACTGGATCTGGGATCTGTCTTGCTGGGAACAGAGAATCTTGCATCTGACATCGGAGTGAAATGCATTGCAAAAAGGTAGAAGCTCATATCTTTATACTGAGTGCACGTGGAGTGTGACTTTGTTATCAGGACTGGTATCCATCGGGATCGTCCCTACTTATCCATGAAGGATACTGGTGTCCTCAGGTAGGGTGCAGATCATAGCTTCCCCTTGGCCTTACCAAAACCATCAGAGAAAAGGGAGACAAGAAAATTACAAGAGTAAGTTCCTGGTGTTTTCTCTAATTGTGGGGTAACAGTCTGGTTGTCCAACACTTTCTTCAGAAATTCAGATGAGCCAAAGGGAGTACTGACAGGTCTTCCCTGTACAACAAATCGACCCAATGTTGAAAACTTTAGCACAGACTGCCAGACTTAAGCTAAATTAGAGTGAATTCTGGTGTGCTATTTAAAGAATGATGTTCTGATAAGCAGGTGAAGACCTCATCAACCTGAGTCTAAACAACAGTTGTCCAGCAGTAGTGGTCCCTCTTAGGCATCATTGGGAAATATTAAGATTGCCCATGAAATTCTAATGGCTGGCCTTGTTGGTATCCGAAAAGGTCCAATCTGCTTAAGCCTGAATGCCCAGGGGCTCTACCTCCACAAAGTCATGTTGGAATATAAAAACAGTGGCAGTTTGTGAGGAAATCCCAATGTACAAGAAAACTTGCCCCAGTAATTCCCATACCAGCTTTTGGGGAACTGATCAGCAGAATATTATGTGGAACTCCTACCAAGAATAAGAGGGCTCATCAATATCTTTTCACCATCATGGATTCCAAGAAGCCATTCCCCCAGAACAATCTGAATCTAAGTTAATAGCTAAATGGCTAACTCAATTCCTCACACAATAAGGACTGCCTACAGAGATCCAGTCAGTGTAGAGCACAATAAGTGACTTATGCATGAGACAGCTAAAGTCCTCAGCCTCTCTTCAACAGGTACAAGGGTCACCACACCTAAAAGACACTGGTCAGAACAAACAGTTGAAGAGTTCCAATGACTAAGATAAAGGGCTGGGATTCCTCCTGTTTTCCACCAATGATTCACCAAATTAATCCAGCAATTTCAGTCACTTTAGATCAGTTTATTGTTCCAAGTGGGAGCTCCTCTGAAACTCACCTGAAGAGTTTTTTGGAAAACGAAACAGAAGAGGCTCACAGGGAGGCAATGAAAAGCAAGATTCTATGGGCATAGTGCAAACATGTTTCCGTAAAGAAAAAGGGTAGTACTGCCAAATTTGGAGCCCCCAGGTTATCTAGAAAGATACAAGTTAAAAGAAAGCCTATGACAGTCATAGAAAAGTTAATACTGTAGAAATTTTCAAAGTGGCACTAGAAATAATGGATGTTTTGATGTTCATTTTGCATGATTCTACAGACTGTGGAGCAGTTTCTATGGATCACAGGGTAGCTAACGTAACTCCACTATTTAATAAAGGAGGTTGAATTATGGACGAGTTTGCCTGACATTGGTAGCGGGGGTAATGCTAGAGTCCGTTATAAAAGATTTAAAAGCAGAGCACCTGGAAAACTGACAGAATCGGACAAAGTCAGCATGGATTCAAGAAAGGGAAATCGTGCTTTAGACAAATCTTTTGGAATTTTGTGAGGATGTAACTAGTAGAGTTGGTAAAGGGGGAGCCAACGGATGTGGTTTACTTGGACTTTCAGTAGGCTTTTGATAAGGTCCTACATAAGAGATTAGCATGTAAAATTAAAGAACATAGGATTGAGGATAACGTACTGACATGGATAGAGAAATGGTTTAGCAGACAGGAAACAAAAAGAGTAGAAATAAATGGGCCTCTTCCTGAGTGACAAGCAGTGACTTGTGGGGGACCACAGGGACCAGTGATTGAACCCCAGCTAAACTAAATGTAATATCTTCAAATTCTCAGATGGCACAAAGCTGGGTGGGAGGGTGAACTGTGAGCAGGATGCAGAATCATAGAGTAATACAGCATGGAAACAGGCCGTTCAGCCCAAACTAGTTCATGCTGACCA